TCTAAGTATCCTTAACTTAACATGCTCTAAGTTTATATTTCTCAGCACATGTAAGGGATGATTCCTACCCTCAGAATAACTTGGTGCAAATTTATCATCCACTTGTAACTCACCTCCATACAGTAGCATGAAGGTTGCACCACGTCCACTCATTATTGAACTCGTACCTAAACCTAAGTTATATAACATGAGAATATCATAATGAAATACTACATTAATTCAATTATGACATAAACATATTTAAATGATTAGTATAATATGAAAAAATTTAATATCCAATAAATTACTTCTAATTATCTCTCTACCAAATAATAACTCAAAACAAAAACTAAAAATTTTAATTTTAAAATACTTCTAATTATCTCTCTACTTAACATAACCTTGATTATTTTGAAAATAAAACTTATTAAGGATTTCATCTCAAAATTTATTCGAACTAACATACATATAACTTCAAAATAATTAAAATTATTACAACAAATAATTAAAAATTAAATAATTTTTTTTTAAATTTTACCTCTTTCCAAACACATGTAAAATTAAGCCAAATATTTACTTGAACATACACTAACTTCAAAATATAATGAGTATTGCTTAATAAACAAAATAGGAAAATATTCAAAAAAATTTGTATCCAACCTTCATCTTCTCCATCCCAAAATAACAAAAAAAAAAACACGTATATTTACAGCACAAATTGTCACTTTAAATATATAATTCAACCCTAAATCACAGATCTACAAAATGTTTAAAACATTCACATCCTAAATGCAGAAATCTATATTTATCGCAAATAAATTTTGAAATTAATTCAACAAACAAAGAGATGTACATAAAAAATTAGAGAAACAGTCCGCAAAACATAAATCTTTACTTCTCCAAGCAAAATAAACACTAATCAACATGCATTTAACTTAATTAACATAAAATACATAAATAAAAACTTACCTTACCTGATGCCGGTGAAGAACCGAAGCGGCTGCAAGAAATGGCAAAGAGGGAGAGGAATGGATTGGGAAAGGGAAAGTTGAAATTTTATCTAAGCAAAAGTCGCCCGTTTAACTGGGGACTAAGTTTAAGTCATCTAATTGCCACATCATCTGCCACGTTGTTCTTTGGGTTAGACATAAGTTTCCTTTCAAACGAGCGACTTTGCCTTTTTTTTAAATTCTTTCAACGTCATGCTTAATCATATAGTTAACTCACTAATTATGCTTACTTTGAAAAATTGCCCAGCTATCAACTGTAGCAGTGAAAGCTCTCATAGCAAAGAAAGAATACAAACATAGAATTATTATCAAGATCTTCTCCACATCAAACCATTTTCTTCATGTAAAAAGTGATTGTGTTTTCTCTCAATCATTAATATAGATGAAGGGATGTCTTTGCCTTTATTCATACGATTTGTCTAATCGCGCATACCAATTTAGCGACTTTCTATTAGCTCAACAGTTGATTTCCTCACGTCGAATATTCCAATGACTTAACCTTCATATTTCATTCTGAAAATATGAAAATTGTAGAAACGCAAGCCAGCAGAGGAGAAGAGAGACATCAAGAAGATAAGAGAAACATGAAGAATGTATTATTCCTTCTCTGCCATTACAGAGATGATCGTATGGTATTTATAGCCAAAGCTAGCATAACTAAGTACACTTGTCATAATCTAATTGGATAGCATAGATACAATAGTAAATATTATAATTGCTCTTAACATTCTCCCGCAAACTAAGTATTAGTAGTAATGGTTAGTTTGTCCCGAAGCAATTTGAATCTTGGTGTAGCCAATGGTTTGGTAAGAATATCCGCAATTTGATCAATTGTGCTAATGGGTAGAAGGCGAATAACTTTGTTCGAAATGTGATCACGGATGAATCGTTGATCAATTTCGATGTGCTTCTTACGAGCATGGAAGACGGGATTATTGGCTAGTGCGATTGTTGACATGTTGTCGCAAAATACGCAGAACGCTGAAATCTGTAAGCAGGCGTTTAATCCATATGGTATAGGCTGTGGCAGAGGCTAATGCTCGGTATTCCGATTCTGTAGATGAACGGGATACCGTATTTTGTTTCTTCACCGTCCATGAGACTAATGTATCTCCAAGAAACGTGCAGAATCCCGATGTAGACTTCCTGGTTGCTGGATCCGATGCCCAGTCCGCGTCCGAGTATGTGCGAAGACAGAGACTGGAACGAGTAATTGGTAGTCCGAATTCTGTAGAACCTTGGATGTACCGAAGGAGTTTCTTGAGCATTATTGTATGAATTGGAGCTGGATTGTGCATGTATTGAGAGAGATTATTGACCGCATAGGCAATGTCCGGCCTCGTTAGTGTGAGATATTGAAGGCTTCCAATGAGTTGCCGGTAGCGTAAGGCGTCAAAGATTGGCTGGTTTCTCTGCTGAGTGGCTGTAATTTTTGTAATAGAGGGATTAGCGACCGAGTTACATTTCTGTAGCTCGGCCATTTGAATTATAGATTTGGCATAGGAGCTTTGAGAGAGAAAGTACTTATCTGAGGTTTGATCAATCTTAATGCCAAGGAAATGATTTACCGAGCCAAGTTGTTTCATCGAGAATTTGGATTGGAGCTTAACAAGGAGATCAAATATGGCTTGTTCGTTATTACCGGTCAGGAGTATATCGTCGACGTAGACCAATAAGTATATGTGTGTAGTCCCCTTGTGCATTATGAGAAGAGAAGGATCCGCCTGACTGTGAGAAAATCCAAGCTGACTGAGATAGGAAGTAAATGTTGTATACCAAAGTCTGGGAGCTTGACGCAGTCCGTAAATTGCTTTGTGTAGCCGACAGACATGCAGAGGATTAGTGGCGTCTTAGAAACCTTTAGGCTGCTGAATGTATATGGTCTCGTGGATATCGCCGTGCAAGAATGCGTTGGCGACATCAAGTTGTTGGATGCGCCAATTATGAAACAGAGCCACCGTAAAGAGAATCCTAATAGTAGGAATTTTGGCGACGGGACTGAATGTGTCCTGATAGTTAATGCCGTATTCCTGTTGATTCCCTAGAGCAACTAAATGCGCTTTGTATCTTGCCACTGAACCATCAGAGTTATACTTGGTCCGATATGTCCACTTGGAGCCGAGGATTTTACTGTTAGCGGGCGGTGCCACCAATGTCCAGGTGCCCTGTTTTTGGAGAGCAAAAAATTCCTGCGCCATGGCCTGTCGCCACTCGAATTGTTTGCTTGCCTTGCTGTATGTGGTCGGATCATCTTGATTTTGAGTGTGATGAAGTAAATTGAGGCGTTGGACGGGTTTAAGAGATCTCGTCTTGGACCTGGTAGTCATCTGGTGTTTGGCGCTTGTGTCACGGGACGGTAAAGATGTCGTAGTAGGAGCAGTGTTAACTGGTAAGACATGTTGTTGTATAGTAGTATTATTAGACAACTGAGGAGTAGATCTGAAGACATTGCTTTCACGAGTGCAGGAATGTCGGATGGAGTGGGGTATGAGAAGCTGATGTGGTGGTTGGTTTGTTGGTTGAGTGGGCTTAGAGAGAGTATCTGCGTAAGGAAAAACAGATTCGTTGAACGTAACATTCCTTGAAATAAAAATTTTATTAGTTACCGGATTGAGACATTTGTATCCTTTGGATGTCTCGGAGTAGCCTAAAAAGATACATGAGGGAGAGGTTGGCATGAGCTTGGTTCGCTGTCCCAATGGTACCAGAGGAAAACATTGACATCCGAAAACTCTTAGATGTTCATACGAAGGTTGAATGTTGAACATTCTTGTGAGCGGAGTAATGTTATTTGTCGTGGGAGATGGCAAACGATTGATCAGGTAAGTGGCCGTGAGTGCTGCGTCGAGCCAGAAGGTCATCGGGAGACCTGCCGTGTGTAACAGGGTTCTGGTTGTGGTAATGATGTGCCTGTGCTTACGTTCCGCAATTCCATTTTGTTCCGGGGTATAGGGACATGAATATTGGTGTCGAATACTTTGTCTTAGTGAAATTGAGAAAACGATTATTAATGAACTCACCGCCACCATCTGTACGAATGGTTTTGATTTTAAAATTTGTTTGTTTTTCGATAAAAACGGTAAAGTGAATGAAAGTATTAGTTACATCGGACTTGTGCATAATAGGAAAAAGCCAAGTAAAACGAGAAAAGTCGTCAACGAATATGAGATAATAGCGAAACCCTTGGTTAGACGAAACTGGGGACGGACCCCAAACATCGGAATGAACCAATTCAAGAGGAAATTTAGTTCGGCTAACGGAGTTTTCAAATACTAGCTTTTGACCTTTACATGACATACAAGTAGTGCAAAGAGATTTAGCAGATACAATGCGTAAAGTAGGATTGCTAATTGAAATATTATCCAGGACCCGTTGATGTGGGTGACCCAGACGAAGATGCCAGCTGTTCGACGAAATTCTGGAGGCTTGTAATGCAGTAGCCGGTGCAGGTTGAGTAGCCTTGGCCACCTTGTACATTCCATGGCTGCACGGGCCTCTAAGGATAACCTGATTTGTCTTCCGATCCTTGAATACAAAACCGTTTTCGTCAAAAGTTATGGATATATAATTATCTTTAACTAGATTGGAAATAGAAAGTAAATTGTAGGAGAGCGAGGGAATATGCAACAGTCGAGAAAGAGTAAGCTTACGGGTTGGGGTAGGAAGAATTCCCGATCCCGTATGTGCTATAGGGACGGATCTTCCATCCCCAAGAGTTACCGTATCGTTGCCTTTGTAGTTATTATAGAATTCAAGATTGTCAGTCGTGTTCGTCATGTGAGACGAGGCCCCGGAGTCTATGTACCAATCCGTGTTAGTCGTGTTGTCGTGTTGAGCCGTGAGAGCCCTGTTGTTCTTAGCCGCGGGTTGATTGGGTGTGTAGTTGGGATTAAGTCGATGCCAACATACTTCTGCGCCGTGACCCTTTTTCTTTCAAATTTGACATGTGACTGCGGAGGAGGCTGGATTGGGTGCTCCAGAGGTATTACCAGACAGCTGTCGGACCCGTCCTCATCTACCGCGGCCTCGAACGGAGTATAGTGCCGATTGGTTGTCCGGCAGTTTGGGAAATTTTAATGCCGCCGACTTGAGATGGATTTCTTCGATGATAAGGAGCGCATATAAAGTGTCGAGGGACAGCGAACCTTGCATAGTTCGGATGGTAGTGGTGAATGACTGGTATGCCGGTGGAAGGCCGTTTAAGATGTAAATGATGACGTCTTCGGGATCAACCGAGGAATCGGCCGAAGCAATTTGATCGACGATTTTCTTGATCTCAGTAAGGTACTGAGTCATAGACCTCGTCTCCATAGAGATGTTATGTAACTCGTGTTTAAGCTGGATTACCTTCGAGCGATTAGAGGATTGAAATCGGGTGTGAAGAGTGGCCCATATTTCTTGGGTGGATTCAAGATGAATCACGTAGGGAAGAACCTCCGGTGAGATGGTGGAGCACATGGCCGTTGCCAAATTCTGATCAGTGACCATCCAAGATCGCGTATCGATGTTCGGATCAGCATTTTTCGAAGAGTTTTTGGGATCAAGAAATGCTGTGAACCCGTTCGCACGAAATAACTTGGCGATTTGAGTGCTCCAAATCGGGAAGTTGTCCAGAGTGAGGGCGCAAGGCACTAAGAACTTGAGATTAGAGATTACGAATTTTAATGAGGAGATGGCCGTCGATTCGCCCGCTGCGACGGAAGTGGTAGCAACCGAGGATGACGCCTGTTCTTGATGCGCCATGTCTTGAACCTCAAGATCGACCTACTTCTGATACCATGTAGAAACGCAAGCCAGCAGAGGAGAAGAGAGACAGCAAGAAGATAAGAGAAACATGAAGAATGTATTATTCCTTCTCTGCCATTACAGAGATGACCGTATGGTATTTATAGCCAAAGCTAGCATAACTAAGTACACTTGTCATAATCTAATTGGATAGCAGAGATACAATAGTAAATATTATAATTGCTCTTAACAAAAATGACTAACATTCATGTCTCCCCCCTCTACTATTAAAGCATATCATTAATTCAACCATTATTTCTATTCCGGCGCAAGACTATTCATCAAACTTTGCATTAGTAGATATAATGTTATTTATATTAATAATATAGAATAATACACAATAAAAATATTTAACAAACAAATGATTACTTATATAATAGATATAGTCAAGTGGATATATGCAAATAAACTGGACTGAAGTACAAGAACAAAATCCAAATTGCCTTAATCTTTTTTTCTTTATGAAAACCAGCAAACAAGCAATCCACAATGGCTAGAAGATAAATAGGAATCTAGTTAACAAGATCCCTTTACACCTGGATTTAACATAATGGTAATCTCACTGCTTTACTTGCAGTGGCTGTTCTTTTCCAATCTGCAATTGCTACATAATATGAGTTATATATAACATAATCAATCTTATCAAGTGAGGCCATAGTTTTTCTCTTCTTCGATCGAATCTGCTAAGGGAATAGACCAAATCCTACTATAAGATACATCATCCCTTGAAAGAGTAACAGGTAAAAGTGAATCGGTTTAGCTGCCAACAAGCTTCTGCCTGCAGCTATAAGAAGGAGAAGAGCAACTGCAAGCTCTTCCTTGTAAATCTGTTTGCCCTTCTTTACTGGAACAGAACTCACTTCCTTCTTCTCCTTCGATTTGCTTTTCTCCACAAGCTTGCCATCCAAGGCTCTTCTGCGAACATCAGGAGAAGAATGGCTCTTTGTATCTATCTCAATTGCTTCTAACATTTCGGGTTTCAATGGCCGACCGGCTTTCTTAGTGACAACCCATTCATGGGAGCTCCCTAGCTGTAACAATCCAGAGAACATTGCACTGAACTTAGTCATTGACATTGTGTTCTCAAACAAGAGATGTGGCAGAATGAAGGGGAAAGTTCCTGGTGCCAAGAAGCTGTTGAAGAGAGACATAATAATTGGCACATAGCAGATAAGCCAAACTGGAAGCTCGGTTCCAGGAACGAACATGGTTATAGGGAGAATGAAACCGATTAGTGAGAATGAATAAAATGGAAGAATTAACTTCCTTAATAGAAAGAACAAGAAGATCAGGTTTGCCTTCTTCCATCCTGATATCTGCAAGTTCATGAATACAAATCGATATGTTAAAGAATTGCAACTATGTTGAATAGTGCTCGAGGATCAAATAGAAGAAACAATATTCATGAAATCATGATATGTGGAAAAGAAGAAACGAGAAAATTTCAAACCTTTGATGTTAGAACAGTAGGAAGGCATAAGCGGAATAGATTAATAGGGCCAGAATGCCATCTATGTTGTTGCTTCTGGTAAGTCTCATATGATTCTGGAGCCTCGCAAAGGACCTGTCAGTGGGATTTGCTCCTAGAATTACTCTCAGAAATGTTGCAGAAAATATGCTTATTTTTGTGTTGTAGGAATTCAATATTTTAAAAAGTGAAAGCATGAAGTAAGACGTTTGATCCATGTATAAAATAGAATGTAAGCTTCAAAAAAAGCAAATAAAAAGCTTCATCATTTTAATTTTATATATTTAAAAATATTAAAATATATTATTCTGACATAAAATTAAATAAATATTAAAAATAAAAATATTTCAAGCTTCTCATGCTTTAGGCTTAATTTAGTTTGGGACAATTTCTTTATTGATTTTTAAACTAGTTCTTTAGTTCAAAAAAATTTGGTATTAAAAAACTGCTTTAATAAGCTGTGAAAAAGCTCTTCAAACCAACAATAGTGTTTTGGATTAATTATTGTGCGGACGCCGAACGCCGTACGGAAACAAACCAGAATAAGTCATGTCACCCTTGTGTTAGGCACCGCGGCTCGGTACTGCACTCGATACAGCTGACGTGGCGCATTCTGATTGGCCAACGGACGACGTTCTATGTCCGTTCTCCGCACAAAATAATTTCTTTATCATTCAGTATGTTATTAAACATTCACTGCAATACAGAAAGAAGCAAATTACCCTGACATCATTTAATAAAATAAAATTCCATCCACACAAATGGGCACGAACAGCTATATCCATATCCTCAACGGTTGTTCTGTCAAGCCAGCCTCCACAGTCCTCCAATGCCTTGATCCTCCAAACACCTGCTGTTCCATTGAAGCCAAAAAAGTTGAAGAAAACCCCATTCACCTGTTGCTCCACTTCAAAATGGAAGCACAGATTGATATACTGAACTCTAGTTAGCAAATTCTCATCCTTATTTGCAAAGCTCCATCTTGCCTGAACCAAAGCAAGATCTGGATTTCCCTGCACCACAATATCAAACAAGAATGATATAACATACACAAATAAATTTTCATGAAATTTAGATGAAATTATTGTTCTTACATTGAAGTGAGGAACAGTTTTCTTAAGAAAGTCTGGGCCTGGCTGAAAATCAGCATCGAATATAGCTACAAACTCGTAGTTCTTGACATAGTCACAACTCATAGCAGATTTGAGGTTCCCTGCTTTATATCCGGATCTGGATAAGCGGTGCCTGTGGATTATATTTATTCCTCTTTGATTCCACTTGGAAACCTCAGCTTGAATTAATAGACAGATTCTCTCATCATCTGAGTCATCAAGAACTTGGATCAAAATCCTATCTTTTGGCCAATCAAGTTGACAGGCAGATGAAATGGCTTGTTCATATACCTGTAGCAATAATATTCCATGACCTTTTCTTGTTAGGAACAGCGAAAAAAGAACATTTTTTAAAGTGAATCAACTGTGCTTCTCTTACCTCTTTCTCATTGCACATTGGAAGCTGAACCAGGACCATAGGGAAATCCGTCTCAGCTTTGAAAGCTTCGCACTGGATTCTTGGCTTGATGTTCCTTAGCTTGATCCATAAGCATCCAAGGCACAATATGATTCTATCCAAGGACTGCACGACTGAAAGGACAATACAAATGTCTGACAGAATCTTAACTGGGAATGAAATATATCTAGCTCGAAACAAGATCCATGAAAAGTATGTCGAATGCATCCATCCCTCTTTCTCAATGCCTTCAGGTTTTTGCAAATACCATCGATTCCAATAGGCCACTACTTCTAAAGTAAGAACGAGGAAGGAGAAGAGTAGCAGACCAGTGATGAAGCTAAAGAGAAAACTCCCCTTGCCTTGTTTGTCAGTTTTGGTAGAAATGGGAATGGGAAACTGTTTCTTGAGGACATTGGAGGCCTCATGAGCCTTCAAGAAGAAGGACGATATGGATTGCTTAGCAGGATTGTCGGTCTTGAACAACAAGTCATTGGATTCCTCCATTCTGACAACTTCAGTAGCTAAGCTCTCTGTTTTCTTCTTCCTTGGAAATTGGAGGAGAAATCCCTATCCTTGGGCTTCCCCAGCTTTCAACAAGAGATCAAAATGGATTCAAATTAATAGCTTGACCTCACTTTTAGTATCAAATTAAAAACTTTCTGAGAGAAAACTTGAAAGCAACAGAGATCCAGGCGTAAAGCAGTGGAAAGAGGCAAAATGCAGAAATGAACTAAATATTTGCTGGTTTCTGCAATATTATTTTGGATCTGTTGAGTACTATACTTGGCCAAAAAAATAAATAAATTCACATAATTTGTATTTTACAATAAATTCAATAGAAAATAAGATTATTATTATTATTTTTATTTTAAAACTTTAAATCAAATACAAATATATCATTTGTCCCATGAGCACTTCTTCAAATCAAATTTTTTTCAAAGCAAATAACAGTAATGACAAAAGGAATTCAAAACTGTTATTTTGATTGTGGATATTGAGAGAAATATTTGAACTTTTTTCTTTGGTTATATCAGTTATGTTGAATAATTGACCATACAAATGAGTTGAAAACAAACTAATCATCAAAAGAAACACGAGCAAAAGAGAGAGAACCTGCAACTACAGAAAAGAAAGTAAACAAAAAGAAATTGCTTTGGAAAAAGCAAACTGTTTTTACCAAGAAATTATAGATCTTTGATGATCTTAACTCGTTAAGCCATGAATTTCCTTGCAAATGGGAAAGCTATATATAGTTGAGAGCGCAAAATAGAGACAAATTATTGAAGGGGATCAGCCAACAACCCTTTTGGTGTATGAATATTAGTGAAATGCAAATTTTTTTTTTCTTTCCACTTCGTGACGACAGATGGTGAAATGCAAATATTTAAAGTGAATAATTATTATTTTTTATTCATATTTTAAGAACATAATAATGCACTTTTTTATATAATGTAATGAAATAAAATATTATCATATTCTCTATGATACTGATGTTAACTATTGCTTAAACATCAAATTGCTCTAAAAGATGCTTAGAAGCTTGTTCTATGATGCATTTTCATCTAAGTATTTTGGAGTTTTAGGAAAGGAATACTGATCAATCTAAAAATTTAAAGGAAGGCTGCAATAAGGACTCAGATATTTTCAATGATTTAGCTAATATGGATGGCCAAAACTTATTTTAATTATGTGGGATCAGCATTTTGTATGAGCGTAAGCTTCTATGTCATCTCTACTACATTGAATTTTCACTTGGAACAGCTTTCTTATTGCTTTACGAAACAATTTCTTAGTACAAATATTTTTTGAATTAAATATTTTTGTACTAAAAAGCTATTTCATGAAGCAGTAAGAAAGCTGTCCAAACGAAGTCTAAAAATGATATTTGATGCATGGTATGAGATACCTACAAAAACAAACACACATTATACAAAGCTAAGGTTACATTTACATCTCTATTTCACCAAGAAAGATATATATGGTGATATGAGATTCCTACATTTTCATATAGTTGTGGGTTCCGAAAATTCGCGCCCCTACCTCCCCGCTTTTAGGAGAGTTTTAACTAACTAGGTTTCAGGATAAATTTTCAGAAGGCGGATTGTTTTTGAAAAAAGACATTACCCCGAGATTTCTCCCTCATTTTGCAAGGACTTTATGATATGAGTTCTAATTTTCTATAAGCACAAATTAACCCCTATAGTTAATTACCCCTCTCGATAAGAACTTTCGATTAAGACTAGTCGTCAATCAAATACATAGCATGTATCTGGCATATAGTAGCAACATGGGTTGGTGTTTGAAATTCCAATATTAAAAATTAGAAATTTACCACCTTGTACTTAAAACGGATGGTGGGGGAAGTGATGATGGACCCGATCAAGATCCCATTGTTTTTTCATCCCGGGTCATCATGGTCCCTAGTATACTTAATTAGAAGAGGTAGTCGACCCAACCTAACAAAATGATCCTTGTCGGCAACTATGGGTTGCGTCGTCCAAGGGTAACTTATAAACATGAGATGGATGTTTGTCTAAGGAGATAAATTTGAATCCACCTTAGCAAATAGAGGGCTTTGTGCCCTATCGATCATATCCTAGTGATTCATATCTCAAGGATTTTAAGCCATTGGGGAACATATGGGCTATAACTATAACCAATGTACAGTGTAGTTGTTGAACGAAGCCACAAGGTCAGAGGGTCGCTGTCGTAATCGTTGCCAATGTGGAACCATCCAGCCAAGCCATTGGTTCTTTGCATAGGAATCCAACCAAACCACCGATTAGAGTACTAATGAAATGTCCTTACTGGTAGGAGGTTATTTGAGAATAAATCCTAATGATATTCTCGACTAGATAATAGCTCTTCGTGAGCTGAAGTAATTTTCAAATTTTATCCACTTCAATAAACTATTACAAAAGGTTTATGGTTTTTACTTTAAGCATTTGATGGTTTATTTTAATTTTAAACCTTTAAGTTTTGGTATTTTGATTTTTAGGCTTTTATAGGCATGTGGGTGGCATTTTAAGTGTTTGTGAACCCCTCCGATTTATATTTTCTATCAACACGATCATCATCGGGATGTTTATGGAGAATTTAATTTTAGGGGTTGAACATTATCGACTATGTCTACTTACTAACAAAGGATCAGGTTCTTCGCATGATTTATTCCTTTGTTAGTCATGTTTTATTATTTATAGATCTTGAAGCCCTAATATGAACATATACAACTAAATATCCTGGTCGATATCGCCCCCGTATATTTATTCATTGGCTCAAGTCGTGTCGACTCCCGTCCTATCAAGGAGAAGGATTTGACTTGAACTTAAGTAGCAACATGGGATTGGTGTTTGAAATTCCAATATTAAAAATTAGAAATTTACCACCTTGTACTTAAAATAGATGGTTGGGGAAGTGATGATGGACCCGATCAAGATCCCACAATTTTTTCATCCCGGGTCATCATGGTCCCTAGTATACTTAATTAGAAGAGGTAGTCGACCCAACCTAACAAAAGGATCATTGTCGGCAACCATGGGTTGTATCGTCTAAGGGTAACTTATAAACATGAGATGGATGTTTTTCTAAGGAGATAAATTTGAATTCATCTTAGCAAACAGAGGGATTTATACCCTATCGATCATATCCTAGTGATTCATATCTTAAGGATTTGAAGCCATTGGGGAACATACGAGCTATGATTATAACCAATATACAGTGTAGTTGTTGAACGAAGCCACAAGGTCAGAGGGTCGCTGTTGTAATCGTTACCAATGTGGAACCATCCATCCAAGCCATAGGTTCATTGCATAGCAATCCAACCAAACCACCGATTAGAGGACTAATGAAATGTCCTTACTAGCAGGAGGCTGTTTGATGAGAATAAATTCTAATGATATTCTCGACTAGACAATAGATCTTCGTGAGCTGAAGTAATTTTCAAATTCTATCCACTTAAATAAATTATTACAAAAGGTTGATGGTTTTTACTTTAAGCATTTGATGGTTTATTTCAATTTTAAACCTTTAAGTTTTGGTATTTTTGGGTTTTAGGCTTTTATAGGCATGTGGGTGGAATTTTAAGTGTTTGTGAACCCCTCCGATTTATATTTTCTATCAACACGATCATCATTGGGATGTTTATGGAGAATTTAATTTTAGGGGTTGAACATTATCGACTATGTCTACTTACTAACAAAGGATCAGGTTCTTTGCATGATTTATTCCTTTGTTAGTGAATTTTCATTGTTTATTGACCTTGTAGGCCTAATATGAACATATACAACTAAATATCATGGTCGATATCGTGCCCGTATATTTTTTCATTGGCTCAAGTCGTGTCGACTCTCGTCCTATCAAGCAAAAAGATTAGACTTGAACTTAAGTTCATTTTTTAACCCACATAGCATCCTCAACCGTCATGTGTGTAAATATAACATGCTCTTCGAGGCCCACTTGGGTATTTACCATTACATGTATATTGCATGATACATTCACATGTGTGCATGATATAATTTTTGAAATACAATTATAGTGTCAATGATACACTGGAGTTAAAACCTTTACATATTATAAGTATGTGTATAAGTACTATTTTTGGAATGCAATTATAGTGTCAAATGACACACAGGAGTAAAACCCTTAGCATATTACAAGTACGTGCATAAAGATGACTTTTGGAATGTAATTGTAGTGTAAAATGACATACTAGAGTGAAACCCTCTACATATTGCAAGAATGTGGAGGAGGACCATTTTTGGAAAGTAATTATAATGTCAAATGACACATTAGAATAAAACCATCTGGATATTATAAGTATGTGTATGAGGTCATTTTAACATGTAATAATGATGTCGGATGACATGGGGGTATTTTATAAGCTATGACATGTGCATATACAACAAATTAACATGTAAATGTATTGTATTAGATACATCTTACGATGATAAAGAATATGTTTAAATGAATTATCATGCATGTTGCAATGTGTGTGTGAGGGCAATTTAAAATATCGACACTAATAAATTATGTGGGAAACTATCATTTGAATATGTGTGATGTTATATTTAGGAGCTTGTAGACGCATTCTATCCACTCGTACAAGTATTACAGATCCAGTGGCATGGCATCACATTACAGGTTGCCCATTGTTTTATACAGGTAAACTATTATGCACTAACTAGTATACTGTTATGGCTCATAGGAACTTGTGTTTGCTAAAGAACTTTGTGTATGTGATGGGTCTCTTGCGGCGGTTCGTTGGAACTTGTATATGTTGTAGTCCTGCAACATATCTACCATCATCGTTTGCAGGTAAATTGACAAGTTCCTTTAGAAGCTGGTGCTGATTGCTAGGCGAGTTGCATTTGTTGTTAATTTACTCACATATGTCGTCAACAACCTACTACACCCACTATATGTTGGCATTCAATGTTCGTAGGTAGCTATTGCGTTTGTGGCAAATTTTTCATCACCACTAGTGGGTATTTGCATTCAATATATTCTTCTATCTTTGTTTGCATGCAAATCAGTGTGTTTATTTATATCTTGATGTTAACCACGAGGATGTTGTAGTATTCTTACTACAACAGCTTGCAGATGCTTCATATGTACCATAAATATGTCACCTTCACCTGCAGATGGCATGTTTTGTAATACCCCGCAGGTGCATGTAGCTATTGCTTATT